TAAACTTATTGAACTCCTCATACAAATGACGTGTTTTATGTACAGTCCGTGTGTTTCGTAAACATTGACAACAAATTGTTTTAAATGTGAAATCAATTGCATTTTCATTGTATACCGGATTAGTGTTACGATTAACTCAACAAATGAAGATCTATTGGTTTATATCAGTTGTGGTCAACATAGTGTTGGTGGCAATCGACCAATCGGTGAGACATTAGTGACATCTGATCTAAACCAGCATTAATTGATTTGTCCGACAGTTTGCCGAAGACTTACTCATCAATGAATCCAATATCCAATACATTAAACTATTTCACGCCTTCAGTAAAGGTATGTTTTTAATTGCATTTTGTATTCAAACTTAAGTTTTCCACTCAATTTCAGACCTAAACTACGAGTCGAGGGCTTTGATCACAATTAATGGCCTCAACAACAGTCCATTCATACGACAGGAACCGCTGTCTACTGATGCCATGATTGCCCTCCAAGTAAGTGGACATTCATTGATGATTGAGATCTGTATTACTGTTACAAGTGATCTCTAAAACGACTCAATCTCTTAACAGCAAAGTTCAAGTGAGGGATCATTTTATTATCTCAAAGCCGTTGCCATCAAGTCTTTAGACGATGAAAATGCCGTCAAGACTTCGACCACTTTTATTAAAGCCGTAATACAATTGCATTCATTGTATGACTTCTGTGTCTAATCCATGTCTTCATAAATTAGTGTTCACTCTATGAGTCGTCCCTTTCGGATGTTTTGGTCGTAACCCTCGACTCGAACGGACAGTTCTTGTCATTGAGTGCATCCACTCTTAACCAGCAATGCATTCCTTCGGTGAAGAGTTCTTTGGGATCAAAATTGTCTAATTTTAACACAACTGTTGTGGTTATGCCAACAATTGTCTCGAATGGGTATTTACAGCAATAGTGATATTTTCATGTTATGATAATGTTGTGAATCCGTGTGCAGTCCCGACACTCAGGCATATGTCCAGCGCATGGAACAGGAGAAGTCTGAGAAGCTTAGGGGCGATAAGACAGACAACCGATCCTTCTTTGCTAAATACGTAAATATATTTATTTTGCTATCATTTATGACTATTTATACAAATAATAAACACTAATCCGGTATACAATGAAAATGCAATTGATTTCACATTTAAAACAATTTGTTGTCAATGTTTACGAAACACACGGACTGTACATAAAACACGTCATTTGTATGAGGAGTTCAATAAGTTTACAAATTATAATTAAATCATATTTTAATTGCTTTTAATTTATAAAAATTATAATTTATTTAATGTACATAACTAATAAACTAACATGGGTGCAATTTATTGATACAAATATTGCATTTTATGAGACAAATTGTTTAAGAACTTTGAAATGCATTTCTAATGAGTTGTCTTCGCCGGCAAAGTGAAGAACTCTTTGAGGATTAGCTTCCAATCGGGTCAATGTCTCGAAGAATATGTTCTCTTCTTTGGCAATCCATGGCCTGAATGGACACAACACTTGATATGGACTGACATCGATGTGAACGCCTATATTAAGTGTAGCGAAGTGTGTGAGGACTGGCTGTGATGTGATCCACGTGTGGGCGCCTCCCGAGTGGCCGCCGTCCACCCAATAAACACTAATCCGGTATACAATGAAAATGCAATTGATTTCACATTTAAAACAATTTGTTGTCAATGTTTACGAAACACACGGACTGTACATAAAACACGTCATTTGTATGAGGAGTTCAATAAGTTTAGAAATTATAATTAAATCATATTTTAATTGCTTTTAATTTATAAAAATTATAATTTATTTCATGTACATAACTAATAAACTAACATGGGTGCAATTTACTGATACAAATATTGCTTTTTATGAGACAAACTGTTTAAGAACTTTGAAATGCATTTCTAATGAGTTGTCTTCGCCGGCAAAGTGAAGAACTCTTTGAGGATTAGCTCCCAATTGGGTCAATGTCTGGAAGAATATGTTCTCTTCTTTGGCAATCCATGGCCTGAAACCTGTGTTGTGAACTATACCTGACTGTAGCTACACTTGCGGATATAATTCACATCGCTTCACACACTCCTGACCGACACTACACTAGGTGCACACCCGCGGAGGGCTCACCGGCGGCAGGTGGGTTAACATGCTGTCTATGCTGTCCATCAACTCCTTCAGCTCCGGCTCATCCAAACTCACGTAAAATGAGTGCAACATTTGGTTCAATACAACACATCCTTTGCTGAAACCAATTATCACTAATTTATGATCACTTCTGAGATCTAAATTAAGGTTCAATTGATTGAAACAATTGAGTAAAAGGAGTCTTAAATGGATTAACGATTGTTTGGAAAACTGATGCTTAGGACAGCCGAAGGAGTCGCTGACCACGAAGTTGTCGTAAATGGCATACGTGTTGTTGTGGAAGCGATTGGCCCGGATCACCAACACGTGACTTGTGCTCCACTTATCCGATAATATGGTTGTCATGTCTTCGAGACAGTAATCAATCAATTTCTTGTGCTCTTCGGCGCCATTGGCAGACATTTCTGACTTCAAGTCCTGAACGTCTCCACCGAAATAGCAGACAATGCGACCACCGATGGCATTGGGTATCACCTCTTTGGGTGATTTGTAGACAATATCATTGAACCGATTGGTGAGCCCTTCCACGTGTCTTAACACACGTATTGATTGCATAATATATTCATACAATTAATTGCAATTACTTTACGAGTAATTCATTGGACACTAACTCTTAAGACACTAACTCTTAAGACACTAACTCTTAACAAACCCTCACTTTATGTTTGTTTACAACATTTGACACAAAGTTTGACACAAACCGAGAGTAGACTGTAGTCTGTATTAAAGCGCAAACTCTTTGCGCGCTTTTTATTGAAAACACTTTTTGTCTGTAATTGTCTCACATTTGGATACAATTGCGGTGACACTCAAGACATGAACAACATATTGAGGAAACAGATCACGAAACACATGTTTACCGTAAGTACTGATTGTATGATGTGTTGAGTGAGTGACTAATGAATGGGTGGATGTGTTGACCATATGACCATCAGGTGTGCATTGAGGGCAACATAGGAAGTGGTAAAAGCAGTTCATTGAAGCATTTGAGTGACAAATACGACAAAGTGATGACCAGTTGTGAACCAATGGACAGATGGCTTGACCTCAGAGGACATAATATGATGGAAATGCTGTACAAAGACTTGACTCGCAATGCATTCAGTTTTGAACACTTCTCGCAACTGACAAGACTTGAGATGTTTGCCAACTCTTACAACACCGCCGATGACTCCAAACGGATCCGTCTTATGGAGAGATCCATCTATTCTGCGAGACATTGCTTCACACAAAACCTCTACAACGGGTTAGCCTTTACTTCATGTGCTGTTTGTGTCGTGTTTTTAGTGACTGTTTGTCTCAATCAGTGGTCATCTCTCGAAACCGGAGTTTCTTATAATCGATGAATGGTTCAAATGGTTGAGCGCTAAGCCATGTCTTAAACCGGATCTCGTAATCTATTTGAGAACAACTCCTCAGACAGTCTTCTCGAGAATCCAAAGCAGATCCAGAAGTGAAGAAATGGAAATTCCAATTGTAATCAAATCTATTGAATGTCTTGTAATGAATGACTAATTTGTTTGTGATATCCATGTGAAGGAGTATTTGCAACAATTGCATGAATTGCACGACAATTGGCTCTTAGACGAGAACCGGTCCAACGAATCGCCACAAGTGCTCACATTTGACGCCGATTTGCCACAAAAGCAATTGTTTTCACTACTCGACCAGAATTTGGATCAAATATTCAAAGAAATTCTTTTATAACTTGTATTTCTAAGCATTTGTATGTTTTTATAAATCACAATAGCTTTACATGTATTGAATGATTTCACAAAATCATATTTTTATAAAAACCAATTACCGGTATTCTCTATCAATAAATATATCAATATTTAATCCATAATCCGTAATCCATATCACGTTTTGTTGTATTTTACGAAACTATCTATAGATTCTGTCACTTCGTACTGCAAATGTCACATAAGGTTTGCAATGCAAATCAACTTATTTCAAATAAACTGTCATATGCTATGAACTTAATTAAGAGGTAAGTCTAATATCTAATATCACATTAAGGTACAGTATTACGGTACAATCGATAATTATTTCATATAAAAATTTGTACTGTAACTAACAAGTAAGAAAAGTGATCTACCCTGGTAAAATAAATAGTACCTTTTATAATGATAATCATACTCT